ATTAAATATAGGTGAAAGATAGGAGATTGTCTTTAAATTTGGACAAGCATTTAGTTGTTGTTCTGTTTTCAGTACAAGTGTTCAGAGGGAGTAAATGTTGATTATTTTATCCCTTGCTTCGTTGGTGATGAATTGAAGCAAATTTGATCCAGACAAGCAATCTGGTGGAATGATGCAGAGCCATCCAAAAAAAATCTGTACTAATCCACCAATGCAGTAAATTAGAGCTACAAGGAAAAGGCATTGCTCCACAAGAATCATTAACAGTTTTAACCAACTGATCCAAGTAATAGGGTAAAGGAGAGAACACTATCAAGATCTTGTTTTTCAGATCTGTCAATTTCAACTGCTGAAGCATGATTGTTACGTGTTTGAATTTTAACTGTTTTTATGACTTTGGTTCCCTTTGTACTAGTGTAAGCGATGAATAAAGATCAATTAAGAGGTAAGAACTCTGGGAAAAAATTACCCAAATTTCCTGCACTTAATTTACAAATAGGTCAATCACAAAGCGAGAGATAATTGCTACAACCTAACAAATTTAGTCAGGGACAAGGCAGAGCAGATGATGTATGTTCTGTGACAAAATACGTGGCAGAGATGTACATACAGACGTGTAGCTACTTGCTTTGTTTAAGACACAAAGATTACAGAGGAAGATTTGTGAAAAACAATTAGCATAGCTTTAAAGCATGCAGTTCTTAATTATCCAAAACATATTGACATCAGATAGTGCCTTAATTTTTAATATTTTGTTATTAACTTCAGCATATAGAAAGATGCAGAACGTTGTCTGAGCATAGCATTCATAATGGAAATTGTATATGATGATAAAAACAAAACTGGTTAAGCCATATCACTATTGCATTATTCAAATACTGCTAATATTCTTAAACTCAACACCCTTAACTCTAGTTACGTCAGACTATACCACTGTGAGCTGATGTATTTATGTGTATAGACATGTATAGATAATAAATATATGTTCTTTAACCTCATATATTTTATGAGTACATGTATATTCCTAAGAGAATGGGCATTAGAATGGTGGTAGGGCTTAAATGTTATAGATTTAGGAACCTTATGCCTATAAATGGTGAGTTAATGAGTGGCCTTTCCTCGGAAGAGGAGTGGAGCTATAATTTAAAAGTGTGACAAAAAGTTTTGAGAAAACAAATAAGAATTGGAAGAATCTCAGAAGCACATGACAAAGACCAAAGAGGGGTGGCCAGGCCAGTTGAATAAGAGGGCTGTCACAATTACCAAAGGAAGGGACATTTTCTCATTAAGTTGATCATAGAATCAAGTGTCACAGGAGGTCAATAGAATGAAGACACAAGAAAGTCTACTGGATTTGAAAATTTGGAACCATGAGAAACAGTTTTTGCTGATAACTTGAGGTAGAAAAATATCATAATGATATTTGTACCATGGTCTAAAGCAAAGCCTGACACTATGGCATACGTAGTAGAGTATTCAGCTCAATGATGGCTGAATTTAATTGTAATAGATTACTTTATGCTGATTTCATACAACATTTATCAGACTGGTAAAGACTTTAAGACAGAAGAATGAGTCTGAATTATATTTGGAAAAAAGTACTGCCTTTGTTAGTTTCTAATACATTATCATAACCTTGTTTTCTCCTTGTTTTGACATCTCATCCTATTTTCTCACATCCCTGACATCACCAAGAACCCAAATATAGCCTCACATAAATTTCATTGTTGAGAACCTGATAATCTCAGAAATAAAGGTCATAAAAGGAAAGATGTTAATTCTACAAAGATAAACTATGCGTTTATAACTATCTCTCATCTAATATAGTATCATTAATATTAAATGCTATAAAATCAAATGACTGTTTATATACATCTAATACAGAGACTGTGCTATGATAGATAGATGATAGGTGATAGATAGATAGATAAACATATATCTTTTCTTCTTTCTCCAGTAGATTTTAAATTATATGTTCCATATCATGTACTTGCCAATATAAAAAGTATAACCACCTAAAAATTTGGAAATTTTATTTCTGCTATGTGCAGTATTTGTTAATACTGATAAATCTTTTATTTTTAGACACATTTCCTTTATCTTTGAAAATTATATAAACAAAGAACAGAAAGCCATTATCTTATTTCAACAAACATTGGATATTAATATAATTTGTAAGTGACTTCTGGTACACCTGCTGCATTAAACACTGGTGTTATGTTTGAAAATACACCAGCTGACCTCCTTTAGACTGCTGCCTGCCTACTTTGATGTTTCATTATTTACTTCAATCCAAGGATGAAATGGATGAATGGATCTTAATTATAGTGTCCTGGTGACTCTTTTTTCAGAGCATTTTTCTGGACAAGCATCAGCTAATCTGACAAATCATGAACAGTTTACTTTATAGTTTGGCTGGGATTAAGTTACTAACTGGAACCTGCAGGGAACGCAAAAAGCAATGTCTCCTGATAAAATGCACTGGGTGTTTGCTATGCCTGTTTCAATTTTAATTCATAACCTTTAGGAATGAAGAACTATAAACAGATAATTCTCTGACAGATACATTTTTATACACTTAAATTTATAGCACTTCAAACACAAACCCTGTGTATCCAATTTACATATCTAAAATCTACATCATGTGTTTGACTTTGAATTTATTTCTGGAGCTTTCACTGTGTAAAAAGGAGTTACTTTGTAATTTTTTTTTTTATTTAATACAGTTTTAGAAGTATTTCTTTCTTAGAACTAGGTTAAAACATCTGCAGTTATCCTTTTAATTGCATGTAAGTGATTATACACATTTGATTATGTTTTAATTTGAAGTATTTTTATGTGATCCTGGGACACATAGATTGTTGAAGGAATTTGAGTTCAAATTTTGGATGTTTTTCAAGTTTCAACTAGGAAGTATAAAGTTTTGGAGAAGTCAGATGACTATTTGAGAGTTTGTAATAACTGTTGTAGATAAGTATTATTCAAAATTTTCCAAAGAACAAAAGTGTTCAACCTTTATGCTTAGGTTATTATTATTTCTTCTAATAGTAATTGATTTTTTTGTGAATTTCATATGCCATCTGCTGGATGACACGATTTTCTTGTTCAGCATAAAGTTTGTTCTTGCAGACAATATGTGTTTTCTTTACACATATCAGTAAAGACGTGTTCATTAGTTAGAGTAGGCAAATGAATAACATGTAAAGCCGTAGTTTCTAATAACTGTCATTTAACTGGACATTTTTTCATCTTTCTTCACTTAGATGCATGATAAACATACATAAGATAACTCAATATAGAAGTTAGATTTAGTATCCTTCTGGGTAACTAAAATTACCCTGCCATCCTTATAAAACAGTATTTTTTATTGTTCTTACACTGTAAACAAATGTATTGGCAATAAAGAATTAACAGCACATCCAGGAAGACTTTATTTAATAATTACAATGTAAAATACTTCTTGTGCCATTCTATTTATCTAATTTATAACTCTATTTGATTATTCCAGCATGCCTTTATCTGTAAGAATTGCACCCTAGGGACTAGTCAACTTATTAATTCATCACTTGTCTTTTTTTACGGTTACAATCCCCGTTATAGTATGAGCATAGAGTGATATTCTCTTCTGAAAGCTGCCAGCCAACTGGTTCCAGTCTAGGTGACCTTTTGTTTGTAACCATGGTCCTAATAGTTTTTCTATTGGCTTCTGTTTCTAATAGATTATGTTACAATCTACTTTTTTGTCTTCTGGTATCATGATGAGGATAGGACAGCAAGAGTGAATTCCACACCTGCAATTACAGAGTTTTAAAAAGAGGAAAGACTTGCTTCAAGTTAACCTGTAGGCTTTAAAAAAAAAAAATGCCTTTTGATTTATCTGTCACCTGATCCATCAGCAATGAATAATTTTCATGGAAGGTGCACTTTAATTACATTCCCATTTGACTTGCATTATCAAGCCCTATCTAGGTAATTAATCTCACCAAGTATCCAATTTCGGCCTTTATTGCTGGCAGGCAGACCTTCAGAATTATGTGTGCTTGAATGGGTCTTGGGCCTTTTTCACCAGGCAGACCCTGAAAGAGATCTGAGGCCTTCCAAATCTTGAAAGTATGCCTATGAATTTTTTTCTCTTAGATATTGTGAATAAATTAAATTATATTTGGCATCACAAATATACTTCCATAATCAAAGAAACCTACAGATTATTGTAATCATGAAAATGATATTAAAATTGAGTCACCTTTCACTTCTGGGTGTAACCAATCTGCATGTCATTTTGTATGTAGAGGATCTGTGCTGAATTATTAACTGTAGCTAACATTTGTATCAGTTTGCTGGTGTAAGTTTGCAAAAGCTACCTCCTAAACTTCAGTATATTGGTTTAGTTCAGGATTTAAGGTTTATATGTATTGAAGTGAGTTGGGGTTAAAGATGGTTAGATAAAATTAGAAACATTTACGATAAGCCTTGTACTTTAAATTCAGTTATATGCTCTCTTTTCTACAACTTCGTTTATTCTGAATTAATAGATTCCTCACTTTTTATATTTCCCTATCTTGATTTTCATAATTTTTATCTCTTAATTTCTGACACTGATTAATGTCAAAGGTCAGTAATCCTAACAACTTAGTTTACACACACACATACACACACACACACATATAAACACACTCAAAGTAATTTTGAAATATAAAATTCGCCTTTCTGTTGTTGTAGTCTTATTTTATGATCTTGTGCAAAAATGCATAAATGTTTTATGATTTGTATATTTGGAAATTATGATTACTGTATATGTACTATTTTGATTCTCTGAGAATATTTCAAGAAACCCTGGGGGTTCTCTGAAAATCAAATTAAAATATAGAGTAGATGGATTGGCTGTCTGTTTGAAAGTGATCTAAATATCTGACATTATTTTAAGCTGTAGATTGTCTGATTTGCAGAAGAGAAGACAGTCCAATCTTTAATAGACTAAATACGTTATAATGTTTGCACAGCAAGAATTTTGGAAAATTTGGACTGATGATACTAGGAAAAAGGATGAGTACTTTTCCAGTTTCCACTGTCACTTCTATACAGGTAAGGCCATGAATCTCTGCTTCCTGCCCTGAGTTCTCTCACAAACTGCTACCTGTATCTTCACAAGGCCATAGATTGTGATTGCATTTATAAGTGTTCCACTATCAAAACCAACTTCACACAGCTAACTTTGTTTTTTTTTTTTCTCTTAATGAAAACTTTCATTTGACCTTTTGATTTTTACAAAAATAATGGAAGACATTTTAATGTAACATATAATATAGATTTCTAAAACATTTAACATTTCTTTGTAAAAACCACGTGGAACTTTCTATCCAAGTGTTAGTTTCCCTTGTCATTTAGAAATAAATCTTCAATTGTTAAAAAGTAGTTTAATTACAATTATATATAGGAACATTTTACTACGGGTTGAGTATCTGTTATTTGTAATGCTTGGGACCGGAAGTGTTTCCGATTTTGAATTTTTTTTGGAGTTTTGGAATATTTGTATTATACTTACTGGCTGAGCATTCCCAGTCTAAAAGTACAAAATCCAAAATGATCCAGTAAGCATTTCCTTTGAGTATCTATGTCAGTGCTCAAAATTGTTTTTAACTTTGGAGCATTTTGGATTTTAAATTTTCAGATCAAGTATTCTAAACCTGTACCCATAATATTTCTAGAATGAAGATGTGATAATTTAACAATGTTTTCATTAGATACATTCATGATAATTGTTTACAAACCACACAGTATCTTAAATCAGAATTTAAATTGGTCAGGAAGATTCATTACTGAATGATTTACTATCGTGAATTCTGTAGTAAAGTTTATATGTGCACATACACATATACACAATACACATGCACACTAGATATGTACATATTCTTTTGTATGAATATATGTGAATTCACACTTTACATTTTTAAAGAAATTGTTTTGTTTATATAGTATTGACATATACTTTACCTAACAATCAGACATATATAGCTAAACAAAGAGTTTATGGCTTATTAACATCTGTCCCTATCTTTAGTTCCCTTTTGAACCTAGGAATCATGAGAATTTATGTTTCTCAGTAATTGTTGTCATTGTTATGGTTCCCTGTAACACCATTTTGAGTCAAAATATGGCAAATATAATTAATCTAACGTATATAGATAAAGGAGAGATTACTTGTACATTGTATAGTAAATAAATAGGATTTGGTTTAGTATTTAGGAATGATTTGTTAACCAGAAACATTCCCTAAAGTTATTTTACTTTTCTTTTATATATTCTTTAGACATATGTTTTTTCAATGTATTGACATGCCAAAAATGTGTATTGCCTGGTCTGTTTACATAATCAATAAATACATCGAGCCCAGTGGATTATTTTTTCTATATCAAAATAAAATCAGTTTCTATGTAATAATGCATCTAGAGAAAAATAGACATAAAAAACATATCAGAGAAATTGGGCACTGGATTTAGAATCAAAATGTTTGAATCCCAGGTTGAACAAGTTGTTTTTTGACCTTGGGCAAGTAATGCAATCTCTCTATCTTATTAGTTAATCTCAGCATTACGTGAAGCAATACATGAAAAAATGTTTTATAAAATAAAAACCTCATGCAGTTATGAGTCAGTGGTGTTGATGTAGTAGAATTGAATTCTGTGCTATAAATTTAACTGTGACAAAGTGGAGTTTTGGAAAAAGTAACAAAATAATGCTGATTATTATACAAGATTAATGTTGTCTTCACTCTCACAATATGTAACCCTCTCAATAACCAGGACTACAAAAGAATAATAAATCATTGACTATTCTTTAAACAAGTAATGTTGACATTTTTAAAAACCAATCTCTCAGCAAAATTTTAGCAATTAATGAGCTGTATTAGATATAATCAGTTTCTAAAAATGAACTTTGAATTCTGAAGACACTATCTCCCAATAAATTAAAAACTTATTTTTATTGCCAGTTTTCATATTACATGTTTTTAAAAAATGATGCTAAGTGTTCATGTAAAATTTTATTCCTGTACACTTTGAGAAATCGTTATTTGATAAAATGTTGGTACCCTACGGTATTATATGTGTGTGTATATTTATATAAAATTGAATATTTATTTAATTTAACATAAAATTTGATTATCTCTCTGTATATACAGATAAAGCTATAAGGAGATATGTATAATATAGAGATATGTAGAGATATGTAATATATATTATAACATATGATACATATGATTTTCTTCTCTATCAGACTATAGGACCTCTTCCATCATTGCACCCAATTTATGTCGTGTTTTCGGGGTTAGATAGCATAACTTTGGAAGACAATTATTTTATAGGAGGAACACTGAAAAGATTCAAATATCAACTCTCTGTAGCTGTTTTAAGTTTTTAAGATATATTCTTTATCCCACCTCCATTAAACAAATAAGAGAATATAAAATAACCATTTTATTGTTTTGATTACTGTTTTAATATTCAGGTATAATTGAGAACTTTGAGGAAATTTTAAACGTTTGTGGACATCTATTTTTTGAAATTTAAGCCCATTTATAGCCAAACTGGACCAAAAAAAAACATGATTTATTGGAATACTGATTTGGAGAGAGAGTTGAATTTCAGTGGTTCAGAGGTCGCATAGGAATCACAAGCAGAATATCCCCTTTTGTAACTTTGTAGGAGCTTCCAGGGCACCTGAAAGTCATTCTCTTATTTAATATATTTGATTGGTTTTAAGCTATTGAATATACACACACTAACACATACACTCTGCTTAGACTATTTCAAACTATTTCAAACTATTAAATTTAAAAAGCAAGAATTAGGAAGCTGAGGAATGTAAAACACAAGAAAAGAGAGAAGAGAGAAGCATGTGATTTCCACAAGTACTCTGAATTTGGATGGAATTGCATATGAATGACAGCAGTCCCAGACTTTCGTTAACCCCAGAAAATTGTTGTTTCTTTTACATCTACTCCCACGGGCTGTTGGTGGGGATTTGGGGGCAACATGATGGTATTCTTAGGCTTCCTCTTCAAGACTTTTATACTGTTTGATGAGTTATCTCCCTTTGGTTCTCTCCCTCCCAATGCTGCTTCTTCCCTCCCTCCCTTTCTTTCTCTCCTTCCCTCTTTTCCTCACCTCCCTCCATCCTCACTCCATTTCTTCCATCCTGTTTGTTTTGGTGATAAGGAACTAGGTGCAGAGGAAAAAGCATGCTACAATATGAGATCATTATTCCAGTGTCACAAGAGTCATATAAACGGTGCACAAAGTGCAAGTTGTTCCCTGAGAATTCATTTCTTTGCCTCCAGGATGCTGCTGCTTTTACCATCCTTTGATACTTACTTCTCTTTCTGAGGTATATCTAACTTGAGAGCTCCAGGTTTGAGATCAGTAGTAAGAACAACAGGCTTGTCTGTGATACTCTACTGTTTGATATGGAAAAATATTGGAATATTTTCTTTTCCTGCCAGCTCTCTATGAGAGAAATCTCTCAATTATCTACTGAATACATTTCAACAAATCTGAATAAGTTTCTTTTAAAGTAGTTGTTTGAGGCCATTTGAAAACAGATTTTCTTTCCTTTGACATTTACACATTCTTGTAAACAAAATACAGCACAATACCCAAACTGATTTTATGTTTATACAAGTAACTTTTTTTCTAAGGGTAGAATTGGTCAAAAAACTATCCACAGAAAATTAGGTCTCGTTTCTAATCTATATTCCAGAGAATAAAAATAGTCTTTTGTTATAGCCTTGTTCAATCAGTGTGTAAAGACATTCACTTACTAAAAGAACTTGTGATTCTGACCTTTTGGAAATGGTGTGCGGTCACTGGAACCTTGCTTTTGATCACTGGTAATCTTTGACATTATTGAGCAACCTTATCCTTGTGGATCTTTCTTCTGTGTTCTGGGTCAGTCTCCCACGGGAGAAAAGTGGAACTTTGAATTGCGGATTTGAAAACACAGAAGCAATACACTCTTCTGTTGTTTAAGGTATTTTCTGTGAAGATTCTCACTGTACTGACTATGCGTTCAACCAAACACAGTAAAACAAAACCAGCAGCCACTTTTAATTACTCATTGATACTTAATTTTTATGTCTTTTTCCTAACTACTTCGAACTGCCACCCCTATACAGGGCAAACAAAAGGAATAGGTTGACTGATATAAGCTTCCTTGTTTTTCCTTTTTTTTAATCAAAATAATACTTTGTACACTATCCAATTTATATTACTCTACAGATCCTTCGAATCTATGATAAAATGGTTAAGTTGGAAGAAGGATGTCATTCAAACAAGAGTTTACTCTTGATTACTTGAGCAGTGGCTGCTATTGGAACTGGTATTGGGAATGAGCTATTCACTTCTGTTCTTAAAAGTGTAAAAGGGACCGCCGGGCAGGGTGACTTATGACTGCAATCCCAGCACTTTGGGAGGCCAAGATGGGCAGATCACAAGGTCAGGAGATCAAGACCATCCTGGCTAACACAGTGAAACCCCATCTCTACTAAAAATACAAAAAAGTAGCTGGGCGTGGTGGCATGTGCCTGTAGTCCCAGCCACTCGGGACGCTGAGGCAGGAGAATTGCTTGAAAACAGGAGGTGGAGGGTGCAGTGAGCCAAGATCATGCCACTGCACTCCAGCCTGGGCAACAGAGCAAGCCTCTGTCTCAAAACCACAACAAGAAAAGTGTAAAAGGCTTTGAACAGTTGTACATTTGACTGCCTACTACGCTTTCAAAGTGAAATACACATGAAATCCAAGCAATTTGTAACATGAAACATGAATAGAATCTGAAACTTTCATGTATACCTTGCATTTGCCTCGTTTTCTGATGCTAAACTCATTGAAGAGGTTGTGAGAAATATTTTATTGGGCAACCTGAAAATATAAAGTTATGTGATCATTGTGTATTACTTTTCTTTCTTGTATTAAAAGACTTTTATTCTAGCAGTAGTATAGTATTAGGCTTGAAAGTTTTAGTGCTCAGTATACTACATGAACTGTTTTTTTAAACACTACTTTAAATAGGCTTTTAAAGGTACATCAATTATAATGAAACATTTTCCAATATGTTCTGGGTACCAAGTATAGTACTTGTGCCTCTTTTGTAGGTTATAGCAGGAAAGATGCATTATATGCCTCCCATATACTGGATACATGTTCAGATCTCTGTGCAGCCATTTCTGGAGTATATGAAGAAATGAAATAGGGAATTTAACTATGATTAGAATTTTAATAATCTCTATTGCTAAATAGAAAATTTTCCATTTCTCTATTTAAATTTTCACAAAATACAGAGGAAAATAATGTAATTTATGGTTATTCATACCACAGTATGAAAATAATGAAGATTCAAAGAGTATAGTTTCCATGTCTCTATTTTAATTGTTATAGGTAGATAGGCATGGGATTAAAAAGCAAAAACAAAACAAAACAAAAACTGTGGCTGATTATTACTGGTTAACGTATGGGTCTAACAGGTTATTCCTTTTTGCTTCTATTTTCCCCCTACTATTCTATATCTTTGCTGGTGGTCTCCCTCATAAAACACAGGTGCTTTTAAAAAATATAATTATGTCACCTTTTAAAAAATATTTCCTTATGTCCTTATGATACAGAGAACTTTAACAAATCCTTTGGTAGTATAATATAAATACCGGTGAAACTATAAAATTTGAAATATAATTATTGTCCCAGGTTTGGTCAGGGCAAAACGCTTACATGACAACCCGAGACAGATAATGTTTCACATATGTTGATGATTATGCTTTACATTAGACCGAAAGTCTCATTTCGTTCTAAAACTAAAAACAGAAATAGAAGCATTTTTATAACATTTCTTGAATATCCCCCATTTTTGGAAGCAGAAAAAGTAAGACTGGATTTATGTAAAATATATCGAAGGATGCATTCTCACCTGTTAACACTTAATTGACCCTCTAGGAATCAAACTTGCAAGAGTTTTGTGAGGAATGTGTTATTATTCTGAATGCTGAGAGAAGTTAAACAAATTGCCGAAGGTGATAAAGCCCATACACTTGCTGGGTGAGACAGCCCCTGAGGTTATATGGGTCTGTGGCCTGTCCTGTTGTTTTCTAGGTTATTTATTTCTTCCTGTCCTTGATTTTCACACCTGCGTTGTCCTATTTCTGGAAAAAAAAAAATCAATTATAATAAACATGTGATTCATACTAATACTGGAAAATGTTAAGATACGAGCTACACATCACAATCTCTACTAGTTTTGGATTAAGTTTAAAGGTGATACATGCAAATATATTCATGGTTACCAGAGAATGAAATGGATTTGCATCACACATTTAACCTTGATATTTGTGGATTTCAGTCAGAATATCCTAGTTATAATGCATGGAAAAGCCATGGGGGTAGTTTTCTATGCACAGTAGCAGAAATGCTAACATCTTAATGTGCTTCTTTGGGCATATTTTTTTCTACATTATACATTAAGTTTGTTCTCTAATAGTTGGAAAGTGTTTTAGATTGTCGGTGTTGTATATACTGATTAGAGAATTATCTTTAGAAATATAAAATTAGTTTAAGTTCCTTATAGATTCTAGCTATTAGATTTTTGTTGGATGCATAATTTGCAAGTATTTACTCCCATTCTGTAGGTTGTCTATTTACTCTCTTGATAGTTTATTTTGCTGTGCACAAGCTCTTTAGTTTAATTATCTCCCATTTGTCAATTTTTTTGTTGCAGTTGCTTTTGGCATCTTCATCATGAAATCTTTGCCAGGGTCCATGTCTGGAATGGTATTTCTTAGGTTATCTTCCAGTGTTTTATAGTTTTAAGTTTTACATTTAAGTCTTTAATCTATATTGAGTTTATTTCTGTATGTAGTGTAAAGTGGGGATCCAGCTTCAATCCTCTGCTAGTCAGTTATTTGAGCACCATTTATTGACTAGATAGTTCATTCCCCACGGTTTGTTTTTGTTGACTTTGTCAACGATCAGATGGCTATAGGTGTGCAGCTTTATTTCTGGGCTGTCTATTCTGTCTACTTTTGTACCAATACCATGCTTTTTTGGTTACTGTAGCATTGTAATATAGTTTGAAGTCTGGTAACATGATGCGTAGAATTGACCTAATTCAGCTCTTTTTTGGTTCATATGAATTTTGAAATAGTATTATCTAATTATGTGAAGAATGTCATTGGTAGTTTGATAGGAATAACACTGAATCTGTAAATTGCTTTGAGTAGTATGGCCATTTAAACAATATTGATTTTTTTTCTTATCAATGAACATGGAATGTTTTTCTATTTGTTTGTGCCATCTCTGATTTCTTTCAGCAGTGTTTAGTAATTCTCATTGTACAGATCTTTCACCTGCCTGGTTTGCAATATTAAACAATCTTATTACAAAGTGGGCAAAGGACACGAAGAGATACTTTTCAAAAGAGAACACACAAGTGGCCAACAAACACATGAAAAGTGCTCAACATCACTAATCATTAGAGTAATGCAAATCAGAACTGCAATGAGATCTCACAACAGTCAGGATGGCATTATTAAAAAGTAAAAAATAACAGATGCTGGTGAGGTTTTGGAGAAAAGGGAACACTTATACACAGCTGGTGGGAATGTAAATTAGTTCAGCCTTTGTGGAAAACAGTGTGGTGATTTCACAAAGAACTTAAAACAGAACTACCATTTGATCCAGCAATTCCATTATTGGATATATACCTAAAGGAATATAAATTATTCTGCCATAAAGAGACATGCATACAAATGTTCATCACAGCACAATTTACGTGGAATCAACCTAAATGCCTATCAATGTTGGAGACTGCATGGAGAAAATGTGGTGCATAAACACCATGGAATACTACATAGCTTTAAAAAAGAATGAGATCATGTTCTTTGAAGCATCATGGATGGAGCTAGAGGCCATAATCCTAAACAAATTAATGCAGGAAAAGAAAAACAAATGGTTCATGTTCTCACTTACAAGTGGAAGCTGAACACTGAATACAGAGAGACACAAAGAAGGAAATGACAGATATCAGGACTACTTGAGGGTGGAGTTTCGGAGGAGGGAGAGGATCAGAAAAAGTACCTGTCAGATACTATGCTTATTACCTGGATAATGAGACAATCTGTACACCAAACAACCATGACCCAAAATTTACCTATAAGACACCTGCACATGTACCCCTGAATCTAAAATAATAGGTTTAAAAAGATATACAATTAACACAAAAAGAAAGAAGACATTGATTACTATTATTTTGATGAATTTGAGCCAGCATTTTTTATGTTTAAATTAATACCCTGCACAAATTAATTGCTTTAAATCTGCTGTATCACATTGTTGATCATATCAGTTTATTTGAAATTCGAAAATATTCTAAATCATATTTCTTACCTAATTGTATTGAAATTTTAAGGCATTTTCTGAAATAGCTCTTGCTTTTGTCTTTAGAATTTGAGATGTGTTAATACAATGTGCACAATAAACAATTCTAATGTTTATATAAACTTGCTTACTTTTGTCATGCACATATGTATTACAATATAGCACAAAAATTAAATTTAACATTATAACTGAGTTCCTATAAATTGCATATAAAAATATATAAGCCAGTTAGCAAGGAGAGAGATGGAATTTGTAATTTAAGTACATATCAGATAAAAGATTACAAATATACAAAGCTCATGTTCTGTAGATAACTGTTCATTATTTATAGTACTTACTAGACATATAATTTGCTGGAGTTGGGATGAAAAGAGTTATACTTACCATTATTATACTTATTTTATTTTATAAACATTTTTCTCAAATTATTAATTTTCTCAAGGTTTTTTGTTTTTTGTTTTGTTTTGTTTTTGCTTGCTTTATTCAGTTCTACTTCTCACCTTCCACCAGGTCCACTGAGCTGCACTGTACTACACTTAATCTTAGCCATGACGCTGACAAGCAGCTGAGCTTCACTGTAAATATACTTTGAAACCAATTCTGTGAGAATATTTTTAAACAAGTGCTATTATTAAAAGTCTTTTCAAAAGTGAAGTACCAATTTCCTGTGATCTCAGTGAACGACAAAAAAGTCAAGCACCTAACAATGTCAGGTGTGTAGTAGTTGCATAATATGTATTTTGTTGAGAAAATAGATTAATATATTATTTCTATTGAACTGAACTGTGTGAGGCAATGTAGCATGTTGTCTACGTTTGCCTTAAAGCAGAGTTATATAATGAAAGCCTATTCATTCAGTCTTTGCTTGTGGATGCTATGAAAAGATAAAATGACATAGTGGTTTACAATAGTAGCTGAAAAATAGAAAGTACATATCTTTGAAGAAATAATTAATCGATAAACTAAACAAGGTATAATGTAGTTGAATTGCTATTTGCCACACATATACAAATTACATGGGGAAGTTACTGGATGAGAAAACAACATTGCTTCAATTGTTTATATAGTTCATGTAAAGTAATAATTTGTCCTTAGTTATTCAGATGATTTCCTTAACTCTCCATGATAATTTATTTGAAAAAATGTTTATGTGTGTATGTGAAATAAATTTAGTATGCATTCTAAACGAAATCTCTGTTTCTAAATAAGTTATAAATGAAAAAATAAGACTTATGTCTAGGTTTGATTTTTAAAAGCTCTGGAATTTTTTTTGGATCTTTCTGCTAAATATATAATCTGCCTATTTCAGGAAGGCATGTATTCAGTAGTTGCAGAATTTGGAAATAGATTAAAGGTGAAGAAAACTGAGAAAAGACCTTTGTGTTTAGCGAGAAAGATATTGAAAACCTTATAAAACAAAACACGATTTTATTATAGTAGTGTGACTATACATGTGGAAAGTAAAACTAAGGAGAATTGTTAAGGCCATCTCTGTTTCCTTCTTTTCTTAAAATACAGTGATATCCTTCATTTGTAGTATTGTAATGTATACTTTTGTGCCAAAATTATAACTAAACTTTTACAGATTTACTGCATTTCCATGTTGCTAATTTTACAATTCAGCATCTGCAATACTTTCCCCCAAATAGCCATCAGATTATCAAAATGTTTCACATATATGCCCACTCTTGACTGTGAACCTAAACAGACAGATCATCTAATGAAAAGCCAGTTAAGAAATATTGTGGGTAGGTGTGCATGTTCTCCATACAGCAGAGTCCTAAGATCAGTTATAGAATAAGGAGTTAATAAATGCTTTACACCTTTTGAAATGCCTTCTTAGCTGATAGCCAAGCTAACATAAAAAAGAGAAAAGTAAATATTTTGCCCTTGGAGAAAATGCTGTTGATTGGCTTGGATAAAGAGCAAGTTTCAGAAAGGAAATCAGCATATTGAAGAGCTATCTGCACCTCTATGTTTATTGTAGCATTATTCACAATAGCCAAGATATGAAATCAACCTAAGTGTCGATCAACAGGTCAACAGATTTTTTTAATGTGGTACATATATACACTATGGAATACTATTCAGCCATAAAAAAGAAAGAAATCTGGTCATTTGTAGCAATATTGTTGAGCCTGGAGGATATTATGTTAAGTGAAATAAGTCAGGTACAGAAATACAAATACTACTACATGTTCTCACTTATATGTAAGAGCTAAAAAGTTTGATTTAATAGAAGCAGATAGTAAAATAGTGGTTACTGAGAAGGTTGGGGAGAGAGGAAGATAGAGGTTGGTTCATATATACAAAACTAGAGCTATATAGGAGAAATAAACTGTGGTGTTCTTTAGTAGTGGTGTGATATAGTTAACGATAATTTATTTTATATCTTCAAATAGCTAGAAGAGAGGATTCTGAATGTTCCCAGCACAAAGAAATGATATTAACAAATGTTTGAGGTAATGGACCTGCTAATCAACCTAATTTCATCATTACACATTGTATACTTGTATCAAAATATTACTATGTACCTCATAAATATGTAACATTATTATGTGTCAATTAAAAAGAGTCACTTTCATCCTATGATTACCATGTTGTGTACTGTTTGAAAACAATTTAATTGCTATGTTTAACATTGTATAACAAGAATTATTTCAACTTCCTTAGTTATCTCCTTCCCTCATTCCACTGACTGAAATTTTTCGCAATTCCTCCCAAATATAGTTTATCTTCTAACTAGTGTAAAAGGATAAACCTGCTTATACTTTAGGTGAGAGTTTACATTGCTAATAATTTAATTAATTAATATTCTTGTTCAGTATCTTCTACTCCAAGAATGAGTCTTTGTTTGTTTGTTTTTTTTTTTAATTTCTTCAGCTGATGAGTGTAATGGAAAGAAGATGGGCTCTGAAGCAAGAGACCTGGTTTCGCTTTCCAGTTCTGCCACAGTCTCCTTGTATAAAGTAGAACATACGTATAACAAAAGTATTTATACAAAATATAATCAAAAATATTTGAGACAGTAAGATTATTTGAGAAAATCAACGAAGTTACTAAGTTTATTTAGTCAGTCATACTCTATAAAGGCTGAAATGTATTCTTTAAGAGATGTCTCCTTTTTTAAAAAAAAAAAGTATACAAAGAATAGCTGTGTTGGAAAAGTATTTGAAAAATCAAATATGTCAGGATTCATACACATTTCGTGGCATAGCACTCACATTCTTTATTAGGTGTGAAGTAAAATTCTTGGAACAGCTCTTGGACCATATGCTGTTGCTAGTTAGCGTGTCTAAAAATGATAATTGTATTTTCATATTTACATTAATATTGCTTATAATCTGGCTTAGATATTAATTAACAAAAGCTTTTAACCTTTCTGTTTGAAATAAATAATGATTAGCAATTAAACATTTCAGTTACTTCTGATTGTAAAAGTATGATAAGTGTTTAGTGGCTAGTGTCTCATTCAGAAGTTGTAGGTCATACTCTGCAGTTATTTATCTTTGGTGTGTGTTACTTATATTATTACAATGCAGATCTGAAAAAAGAGTATTTTCATTCAGTCTGGCACTAAAATATACAATTCTTACAGGAAACAAAAGTTAAAAGTTATTGGTAATGAAAAAAAAAAACCTACATTACTTTATTCACTTTAGTTCCCTGAGGAGTTAGTTATTAGTGTGTACATGTTATTGTTAAAGTGATTTTTAATATTAAAAGATGAATATGGATTTTTATAATGCAGTTTTGGTTAATTCATTCTGCAAAATGTGACCTTGACTTGCTGTTTTTCTCTTCCCTCCTTAATAATGTTATCTTTAAATTAGAAAATAGTACTTTTCATATTCGGTTTATTATATTGTATAATCAAAGTATTATTTCGCCCATGTAGTCTTTTAAGGAGACCATGCCATTTTCTATTCCTCTTTCTCCTTACTATTTAAGACATGTGCTTAGAGGGAGCACATTGATTATGGAGGGCTTCTATGGGAATTCGCTAGTGAGAATATATTATTACCCAGATTGAGTAGTGCCCCTTTGATGCATTAAAATTGCCATGACTCAGGAACCAATGTCCCAGGAGAGATCTTGGTATCCAAGATAATAAAGTTAGGTAAGAAAGACTAGATTACCTCTCTTTTAGATGAGGAAAGATGATTAAAGCATGACTTATGATGCACTTTACAAAAGTGTGGATTCCATCATGCTAAAACACTTCCCAGCTGACTAATACTTGAAAATTCACTAGTGAAACGTTTTCCCTTAAAACTCTCATATATTGTTGCATCATTCAAATATATTTATTCAGCATTTCACACATTTCATACGTTACTCTAGATGCTGGGAAAAGCTATAGACAAAAAAAAGAAATCTCTGTCCTTAAAAAGTTTCTAATAGAAGTGGGGTGCAAGTAGAACAGACAGAAATATACTAAATGTGTAACATATAAAAACTTAGATTATGTTGTCCAAACAAAATACATAGGAAAGCCATGAATGGAGTGTCAGGGGATTGCAGTTTTTAAAAATTGCCAGGAAAGGCTTTATTGGGATGACGTTTGAATAAAGGCCTGAGTGAGATATGAAAGCAAAGCCAAACGGAGGAAGAGTGTTCTGGACAGAGAGAACAGCCTGTGCAGGTCCCAAGGAAACAGAATGTTTAGCATGTTCGGTGGGAGAGATGAGTGTATCTGGTGTGAAGGGAGAAAGGATGAGAGTAGAAGAAATGGAAGTCGGGTGTTAACAGAGTTGCAAGGACACACTATGTTAGACCTTGCAAGTCGTTATAAACCGCTGGCTTTAGATGAAGATGGAAAGCCACTGGAGGGGATTTAAGCAGAAGAATGACATGAATATACTTTCATTAACAATCTCATTAACAATCTCTCTGCTGTGTTAAGAATAGGTAAGGGTGTTCCAGGTTATGAGCAAGAGATTAGGAGGCTATTGAAATAATCTAGAAGGTGGCTGTCACTGGGTGGCAATGGAATGGTAGGGAGTAGTGAATTCTGAATACGTTTTGAATATAGAGTCAACAAGATTAGCACATTGAAAGTGGAATATGACAGAAAAACAGTGACCCAAGGGTGGCCTTGAGTATTTTTAACCTGTGTAACTTTTGAAAAGATAAAATAACTAGAAACTCTAGACAGAAAAATTTGTGGGAGAGACAGGTTTGAAGAAGTTTAGGAACTCAGTTTCTGTCATGCTATGTTTAAGATGCTATAGTTGCCTCTAGTTTATCTGTGATATTGGGGTTAATTATGTAAATCTGGAGCTTTCAGCATTGACATGGAATTTAAAGTCATGAACTAAATGAGATAAAAGGAAGTGAGTATAAATAGAATAAAAAGCAGGTTTGAGGTGTGAGTGCCAGGGCACTGGATGATGAAGAACAATCAGGAAAAGTGACAGAGAATGAATGGCCATTGAGATAATAGAAAAAATTCAATTTGATGCCCAGAAAGCAAAGAAAGTTATTTCAAGGAGGAGGCAATGATCTGTCCCAAATGTTGATAGCTCTGCAAGGTGAGGAGTGAGAACTGAACTTTGGATATAATCAATTCAGTATGAGTCTAGTGGCCATCAGAACATCTCATATGTCTTAGACTGCATTGATTTATAGAGTAAAGGTGGCTGATACTCAGCTCTGCTCGGCACATTCACTTCCAACTGGGAATATTGTGCCCAATTCTAGATAGCACAGGTTAACAGTCATACAAATATATTTTAAAATGATGGGAAATATGAGGTAACTCACAATCATGTAAGATGGATACCAATTGAAAGAATGGGTTTGGCTAAGTTGGAGAAAACTAAGAAGATACAACAGTAAAAACTTGCAGCTTTATATCTTAGAAAGTTCTTTCTTATATTCGGTTACTCTATGTCTTTCTGTTGTTTCTGCTCATTCATTGATGTATTTAATACATATTAAGCACCTGTCATGAGTCATTCTGCTAACTGCTGGATATGGGGTAGTATGAAACAAAGACAAGATTCCTGTGTTCACAGAATAGATTCTCTGAAAGATTTTAGTCCAAACACGTCATATGTTATGATGGGATCCCAGGATCTATTCCTGCATTAGCAGGAAACTCACTTGCTAAACACAATGAAGAGGAGAGACCTTACCTTTAAGTTTCAGTGAACAAATAATTTCTTAGTTTTAAAACTTGCTTCTACTTATAATTTTCAGTGAAACTGGAAATCTTCACATAGAGACAAGTTTAGGTCACTTGCTAGTCAACCTTTCTCCTAAGTAAGTTCTGCTTATGCCATTCATTAGATATTTAACAGTTAACACAGGAAACTGTCTTCATTTATATTTTATATAAATGGAGCATTCATTTAAAATCACTGTTTAATATGTTTAAGATAACATAATGTTGTGCAGTGTTTTATTGAAATGTGGGTTGTGATTTTACTCGTTTGTTGAATACTTATTGAATGCTTACTGTATGCCAGGTAATTTGCTGAGGGCTGGATATTCAGTGGTGACATGAACATAGCCTCTCATGGAACTTAGACTATAGGGAGAGATATATTTTAATCTCTTTCCTTTTTACTTCCCACTTACCACGGCATAATTCTTCAGTGTTCTTATGAGATTTTCATTACATGAATCTTAGACTATGAATAGAATTATCTGCTGTATAGCTAATGTTTGGTGAACACAGCAGGCAGTTTGTAAATCTAGAGTTATTATTCTTGACTCTTTGTTAGATCTCATTGATGGCAAAGAGAGGATGTTGTGTCATTTTTTTTCAGTAAGCCTGGGCATCAGCACTACATCTTTCTTGAGCCAGCAGAGCAAACAGATAATTATTTAATATCCTGTGTTTGATGATAACCATTTTTTCTTGGCAAATGTTTGAATTAAGCAAGTTTTCTTTATTGAAATTTCCAAAATACAAAGTCCTTCTTTTTAGCCACTTAGATACATGCAGATACTTCAAAGTGTGTCTGAGTAAATATAAAATATTAAGTATACCAGTAGATTCATAACAGTTTTTTACTGCAGTTAACCTTGGTTAAATGTACACCTATTTTCAATACCAAGAAAATGATAGTTCATTTTGTTGGAATTTTTAAAATTTCCTTCATTTACCATATCTATTATTTTTACCTTGATTCTCTTGATAGATATATTTTGGTAAGTTTAGGAGTAAATGTAGAGGGTGGGAAGGAGTGGAGTATAGTTGGATGATAGATCCTAAATTTTACTATTTTAAACAAAGCTTACAATTACAGAAAATTGTAGACAACTGATCACAGGAGATACTTATTTTAGGTCAGGTGCCCATCACTGGTTTGGCCTGTATTATCGTGTAGCTAAATAGGCCTGGGTTTTGTTTGGATACAGAGGCATATATCGTTTTAGAAGTACTTGGTGATGAACTCCTCACTTAAATAATTTTACTTATTATAAAAGAATAAGTGATATAATGCTGAAGTTTCTATAATATAAAAAACACTTAGGACCAATTGTTTCTGAATTCCATTGATAGTGTCTTTTGAATTTAGAGTTAAAATTGAACTATAGCTTATTTTATAACAACTATTTCCCTATATGCATATATTATTCCTGGCAATTCTAAATATTTCCTCAGCTGGTAGAATCTTCACTCTGTCTCTGTGTGTACACCCACTCTCTCTCATTCTCCTCCCATACACCCTCATTTTTTATACTACATAACCCCAGTGTTAGAAAAGGTATGTTCACTGGGGAAAAAAAAGCCTTTTTTCAGGATTGTTATTAATAAGTACAAAATAAAATAGTGAGTGAAAAATCTATCAATAAAAGGCTTGCACATATCCCTTCTGCCCTCTACAATGTGAACCTCTTTTGCTTCTACTCCTTCTGTGAACACACAGAAACATTTCACTCAGCTTGCTGGCCAAGGCCTTGGATTGTAAAAAACTATGACGTTCTCAATGCTTTTATGTTTGTTTGCCTAGGTGACAAATAGTGAAGATTTGTCTTCCTCTGTATATGTGTTGAAGGCATCCTTAATACCCTCTTTTCTTGATTTTATGTTTCTGCAATCTCAAAGAATAGAATGCCCCTATTTGCCCTGGCACACTTACACACACATATTTTTTAGAGTGTGGCAACCGATGTTATTTAAGAGGTAGGATACACATGTTGAGAGAGTCTAGTTTCCTTCTTTCAGACTTACCCTATTGTGCACTTACATGTTATGTGAGTTCTGTGACCCCGTTTTTGCCTTAAGGCCAATCCTGCTAGATTATTGTATTTCATGCCTTTCGTCTGCCGTTGAGTTTACAAAAATCTAATAAAGGTTTATAAATGACTTCCCCAAGCTAGAAAATCTAATGGCACTGATGTTTATGAAATGCTCCGTAGCCCCACCAAGGATCAATGTTATTTTCAGATAGAAACTTTTTTAAATTACCTGAGATTTTCTTTGCCACTCTTGTATAATCAGAACCCAATTAAAAAGATTCTGATGAATATTATGAGGATGTAATTAGAGGCAAATTTTATGTTAGTTCTAATATACTCATATGTTGGTAAAGGAAGTTATCCCAGTACAAACTTAATGCAGATTTTTAAAAAATCAGTCTATCCATTAACATTAATTTTGCAGTATTTTTCTAAGGAAACACATCAAAAGACAGTAGCAATACTTCTGCCTTAGGCGAAAAATCTCAAAAATATTTGTTGTGCTCAAAAGAGTCTGTCTGCCCCTTCATGGATGGTTTAAGATAACTTTTGGCAACAGAAAGCAGACCACTGATAATACTTGGAGGTAGTTTTGTATTCATGATTTAATACATGTGAAATATGTAATGGAGGGACTCCTGGAGTGAAGATTTTAATATTTCAGTTGTAGATAACTCTCTTTGAAAACATAGCTTTTTATACAGATTTGGTGTGAAAATGTTTAGTTGAGCAGATGGAGATCCAGCTGGTAGAATATATGTTTGTCAGGGTATCTGGCATTTAGCTACATCCAAAAATGATACCAAACTGAAAGATGCTAAAGAGCAGCACTGTACAAAAGCCAGTATGATCAGTTAGGGGTAGAGTCCTTTAATTTTGGATTTCCTAACCTTGTAGAAATACATTTTAATCCAGATGGAATTTTTCATTTTAAAAATAAAATCTGAGAAAATGTAAATAAAATTGTCAAACATCTGCCTTTCCAAAATCTTGATTACAGTAGGCTAGGAAAAACATTCTACTTTGTGTGTTAAAATTTAGTACCTAATGAATAGTATATATTTGTACATGTACAATAAACATGCACATTTCCCAGAACTTTATATTCTATATATTTGATATCATTATTTTGGTTTCTTGAACTAAACTGTAAGAAGTGGTGGATGATAATTGAGTAGATATTAAGAGAAAGAAGGAAAGAATTTGTAGAAGAATTACAAGAGTCCTAAATGTACTCAAAAATGTTTCACCCCACTGGATTCCAGTATTTAAGTCCCCACTGAGATGGATAAAAGGCCAGCTTAGTAAGGAATCATGTGTTTACTCCTAAATGTTACAGCCTATACATTTAGTTGATTAATACAGTCTGCTTATTTGTTTCTTTCATAAAGAAATGAATATTTAGAAATAAATTATTTTGTTAAAATTCTTAAATATGTGTACTCAAAAAATTCTATATTATGCATTTGAAGTTGTTTATTTTAATTTAAAGCAATTAGGCAAAACTAAGAAGTTTTTTTCATCTTGTTTTTTGTTTGGTTTGCCCTTTAGATACCATATTAATAAAACCTTCATTCAAACTTTTAAATTAAGTCCACTGAAAATGCCCAACTTAATTAATTGTTACCCTGTATGGCCCTCAAAAAGTGATAATTGGCATATTCATTCATAGTGCTAGTAAAACACACACACACATAAAGCACAGGTAGGGAACAGAATGCTCCCTGAATCTGTAGAACTGCTTATCATAGTGAGTAAAAGTATCTATAGGTGACTTTTGGAAGGCTTCCCTTAGGAATGTATTTGACTCACTAAATCCAAAGAGAATATTTAACCCTTATTTGATATAATGACTTCATGAAAATGGGTCCTAATTTTGAAGGTATAATCAGAGTTAGATAGTCACTAGTATGCCTCTCTAATTCAGTCATTGATATAACCTGAGCTACATGGACTGCTTTAAAATATTCCCTTACCAAAAACTAAAGCTGGGAAAAGCGTGTTCCTTATGAGCATGATTTAGTAAATCCAGACTTAGAAATTAATTAATGAAGAGTGTGCCTCTGCAAAAGTCCAGTATATTTATCAGAAAAGCACCCCTCTATGAAATAATAAAGATTTCGGTCTTCCTGGGGAGCTTTATATTTTATAAAACAAGACACACCAAAAAAGGAATCACTTGCAGTAGATTATAAGAGATACAAAATTTCCCTGTAAGTTTTTGTTGTAATATTTCTTCCTACATTTTAAAAAGGATAGTAATTAATGCTATAGTTTTTCTTCAAATTCCATCTTAAACTTTACTTGTTTTATATCACCTTCCTACAGTGTAAATTATATATAGTATACATTACAGATATATAATAAAGAAATTACATACAGTGTAAATTTTATACATCTGTATATACATGTTTGCATTATGTTTATAAAATATGTGCATGTATTCATCTGTATAGTGTGAAAGCCTATGTGCTTAACTTGTGACATATTGAGCCTTGTATTGTTTTTTACATTCATTATTCATTCATTCATTCAATGAATCTTCACAGTGCTCTATAATGTAACTAGTATTAGTGTCCTCATTATAAATATGAAGAAATTAATGTATAAAGAGTTTGAATAAGCCCAAGGTTGTACAGTGGCAGTAATCAAACCCCAAATTATGCTCTTAATCAAAATGCCATATGGCTTTTGTTAATTTTCTAACATTTCTAAAAGCCAACATTAATCTCAAAAAGAGATAGTTTGGACATTTACCTGAGTAAGTGACCAGTTAGTTTAACAAATTCCTGTAGAACTGACCAATGAATGTTGATGCAGTGTGGAGTTGTGTAGACCACAGGGACCTGAAGAGGGATTATCTCCTTTATAAGCAGCAGTCACTTCCCTCTTCTTGCTGAAGATGCGTAAGTGCCCAGTGGGGCCAGAAATATCAATTCCAGAAGTCAAGTCAGAAATCTAGATTTGTCAGTGAAATTTCAGATATTGTAATTTGTATCTTGTAATTAAACTTAAACAAAAAGTACCTTAATGGTGTCTAACAAAACAAATATATAGAGAGGAAATAAGAAGAACATTAATTAGTGAGCTCAGTCATATCCAGACATTGCAGGTTGAGTTCCAAGGATAAACAAACTCTGAGACAGAGATACATATGCAGGAAGTTTATTGGGGAATGCTCCTGGGATCAGTGCCTCACCTATTGTGATTGATATATACATAATCAACAGATAATATATTACTGTTGCCTACGATTTGATTCTTCTATTCTCAAATTATTATGTTCTCACAGTTGATATTAGGTGCTTGTTACAATGCAAATACTGAAACCCACACTCAGGAAGTTTTGATTCTGTAGACAAACTTGGTGGAGAACAGTTATATACATTTTTACAAGTATGCAGGTAATTCTAATGATTTTAATACCTATGCCACATATTGAGATATACTGATTTAAAAGAGACATATATAAATAAGAATTTATATATTTTCTCGAGGGTATGAGTTATATATTGTAAATCTTTTATAAGCCCTCATGTAAGACATAATAAATAATTTGAATTTACTATTTTATTTAGCAATTATTACATGATACAAAATATACACAAATTATCTTGTAAACTGTATAACGTTTTATAAGTGAAATTATATTTCAATGAATCAAAATTATTTTTGAAAATTTCTGACTTGGTAAGCTCCTACAATCCCATATTTCATCATTTTAATGCTGCCTCAGGACTTGGCTAATTGTGTTGGGCCATCTTGTCTCTAAAGCATTAAATACTAGCAAAGCTGTGTAAGCTTTAAATATAATTTTCCAAATTATATTTTCCCACTAATGCTTATGAAATTTCATATGTTATCAAAATTGCAATAAATTTCTTTATTATAAAATATATTTCCCTTAGCTTTAATTGCACCTCTGACCTGTGTCTAATAGCATCTTTTAAAACCATGAAAGAGAATACTAAGCATTATACTTCTGCAGAACCTGTTTTTTCTAGCTACATTCTTAAGTATATTTAGTAAATATGAAAGGGAATTGTTTTTCTCCCGAGTGAAGTAAAATTGCACTACAAATCATTTTCTGCTAATGACTGTATTCTTTTAAAATAGCGAAGCATATTTGGTCTCTAATCACTTTGCCTATCATTGTAATATAATGTTAATTTTAAAGAGTTCTCTTTTGGAATGAAAGAACTAATATACTGAATCTTTATTCGAAATTTACTTATATATTAAAATGCTTTGCTAAGCTTTTGTTAAATCTGCAGAATATTCCAACACCCTGAACCTTCTTAATATTAAAATATGACATTTATTAAAGCACTTCTGAGTAAAATAAAACCAGGCATGAAAATGTAATATCAGACACAATTTCTACAGTTTCACAAGGAGGTCAGCTAATCAATGAAATGGATCAGTGATTTCTCCTCCTTAAATGAGCAGCCCATTAATACTAGCACACAATACATGCTAGACATTTCACCACTGAGTCACATCTTTAATTATCTATCATACTTTCTGATTATAATATTTTATCCAATTTATCCCTAAATATCTAGTAAATGTATATTAGTAAGAGGGAGCCTCAGCATAGAATATTTTTCAGCTTACCACATAAATTGAAACAAATACAAAACATCAACTTTTATTGCTATACAGATATTATTTTTCATGTGAATTTATAATTGCACAGTTATCAATTACTAAATAAAGAGTATATTTGATTATGAATATATGTAATCTTTTAGCAAATCTTATTGAATCTACCTTCCAAATATTTGTAAAACATATATATGGAATATGACCACCTTCTTCACTTCCACGGCTATGTAGCCCCTAGCATTTCCTATCTGGGTTACTGCAAAACTTTCTAATAGGTCTCCGTTGTTCTATACTTGACTCTACATCCAGTTCTCAATCACAGCAGTTACATCCTTTTTAAAGCATAGACCATTTTGTTCCTCTGCTCGGAAAGCTGCTGTGACTCCACATCTCACTCAGAGCAAGAGTAGAAGTCTGCTAGGCTTTATGTGATCTGCTTCCTATCTCACCTCCTCAGCGCCTCTGGTCTTGTCTACCACTAAACCCCTCACCCATGCATTCCAGCCATGCTAGTCTGTTTATTAATCCTTAACACACACCAGAAGTGTTCCTATCTTTGGGCCTTTGTTCTAGCTGTTCCCACTCCCTTAAAATTATCTACCCCTGGATATCTGTTTGGCTACCAAACTGATCTCCATCAAATCATTGTTCAAACTCTGCATGCTCAATGACAGTGTGCAAACAACCTTACTTAATGTAACAACTTGTAACTTCTCAACATTTCTGACCCCCTAACCCCACTCTTTTTTTTTTTTTCCTTTCTGGAGTACTTCACAACTTCCACACTGTACAGTTTCCTTAGTTGTTAACTCTATTGTCCATCTTTTTTGGGGGAAAATATGTGTTTTACTAAGATAGAGGTATTTATTTTCCTTGATTTTACTTCCTAAACACTTATAAGAGTGGTGTGAACATATGAGGCCCTTAATAAATATTTGTTAAATAGAATTGAAATAAATTCTAGTTTGTGACATTAGCAGGAAGATAAATTATTAAATGCATATGATTTTTATTTAAGAATTGGAATCTAAATCTAAGTGACAGCAATGGTTCAGAGGTTGAATTGCCAGAAAAATTCATTGTATTTTTCAGAAAACACCACTATTTTTCTTTTCCTTTCAACCACAGCTAGTTTCCTGATTCTAGAATTTGGGGTAACTTTAAAATTAAGAAAACAATATTTTAAGAAGTAAAAGCTGACAAATGATTGCTGCTTTCTTCTAAAGCTTTGTTATTTTTTCATAAAAACTACATGAAGTTCTAATAATGAGTCTCATTATGGTATCATTGCCAAAATGGTCATGTCATAGATAACAAAGCAAAAAAAAACAAACAAAAAACAAAGTGACATAGTACTTTTATCTCTACTGTTTCTTAAAAGCAGTTGTCTTTAAAAACTAAGCAGAACATGTAATTTTAAGATTAAGGTCATTTTTTAAATTAAATATATTCAGCTTTGTTAAAAATGCATAATTTATTGCATTACCTGTCTTTTTCTCATTTCTCATGAAAACTACGTCAAGAAATTGTTCTTATCTGCAAAACTGCACTTAGATACAATGAATTAGGGAACTTGTTGGCTTCAGAATGCCTGGTTCCAAGTAGCTTCTTTCTGTGCATATCCTTCACTTTCTCACCAAGCAGATGGCAGCATAGTGGTAAGTTATGGAGACATGCAGGCCAATTTATTCTGCCATGCACTAAAAACTGTGCTAGAATTTGTGGGCAAAATAAAAGCAAGAGAAAGAAACTAACACTTTCTGAGAGCGATATTATATACCAAGCTCTGTGTTAGTGTTTTCATATACACTATTTTATTCAAGACATTCTTGAATTAGCAAGAGAGAGATGTTAACACACAGGAGTACAGTATGTCTTATAAGTACATTTTTTCTTTTTAGAAGGGTAATGCCATAATTGGATTAGTCGTTTGAACTTTATGCAGTATAATATTTCTGTCAAAAAGAAATGGTGGGACTTTCCAGATACAGTAAATGATTATGAAGAAGGTATTGAGGTGAGAATGAGAGTTATGATTACTGGATGGCTGACCTGAAGGAGGATGAAGAGTTCCAGCTCATATGTAACCTCATTAGATAAACTGCTTTATCACTTTCTAGCTAATGACTCTCCAAGGGGTTCGTAAGCCAGCTGTGATGGCAGCAGGAGCCAGTTTCACATATTGTAGGTGCTAGACACAGCCAAGGATTTCTGCCTTTATAACAGCTGAAGGGGTTGGAGGTGGGTTGGTTTGATATGAAGGGAGGACACAACTTAACTATATTTTAATTCAGGCAAAATGGGTTCTGCTTAAGCAGTCAATATCTAAACTTGTGATTATGTATAATTCTGTGACCAAGTTTAAATGCAGCTTAAGACTAAATCTTTATATGCCAAGGCCTCATTAAAAAGAAAATTAATAATTCCTTTGCTAATGTTAAAATTGAATGACCTGAAAAATGTGTCTGAGAATTAACAGTGGCTATAATTCATATGTAAAAATACCAAGGCCATCACAAAACTGGGTGCGGTAGAAGTGTGTTGCCCCAATTTAGTACCTTTACTTGTTGAAGAACTGTTTTTTCTCAGCTAGCTTCTACTGCCTTTCATACCATGCATTCCTAGGACTGACTCCCACCTGTTATGTATGGGAAATGTGAATTCATTTTCACATTAGCTTATTTAAGACATAATTAAAATAGTAAATCTTCTTTAAAGTCCCTATAGTAAATTTCAAAGCCAGAAAGTTGTGGGGTTTCTGCAGGAATATTTTATATCTACCTAGGCAAACATACCACTTACACACTAGAGAATAAAGCCCTCAAGAGCATCTGCCTGTAAGTTTGCTTGCATCCTAAAAGAAAGAAAGAATAAGGACAGAAGAGAGGAATTCCAAAATGTTGAACATGTTATTATATGTTGAGGAAAGAGCAGCCAGGGAGAAATGACCCCCGTAAGCACAGCAGGTAGTTTTACTAAATGTACAAACTGAAATTACTATGTTCCATCTTAGGACTGTAGTTTAGTTTTCCTCTTGTCAAGGCTAATTATTATTTTCCAACTGGCTTCTAAATGTTTTCAATATTTGTTTGTATTGCTATCTCACTTGTATAGTTAGAAGCCAAGCATGTAGGGAATGTATTCAGAGAATCTAATAATGAATACTATTCATTTACATAATGCAGAAACTCAATATCAACAGGACATTCTTGAAAATACATAATCCTTCTGAAATATAATCAGACATACTAAACAATTTTGCCTTGTTTACTTAGTCATTTTACTAGTTAGTATAGAAAGTAATTTCTTTGCACAATTGATATTTTATACGTAAGTAATTTATTGCATATCAGATAAGCACTTTGCATCTGATAGGTAGATACTCAGAAGAGTATATATTGCTTTAAAAGGATAGATGTTTTCACAGAAAGTGTTACACACAATCTAGAAATTCTATAATTACAGTATGTAATATAATACAAACAATATTAGAACAGTAGCTTTCCAAGTCTCTGAAAATATCTGTAACCTCACAGGGAAAACTCCTAAATATTTTCAGGTTGATTCTACAGGTAAATTCTGATGTTATAAGCTAATTGACATATTCAGTTCAACAAAACGAAAAACTTAAAAGGATATATTTTTAAACATTGTTAGGAAGTTAGAAAGGGGGTGTTATGCAACTATTCTTAACCATAGATAATCTCCTACATATGCATTGTTAAATATGAGGATTTTTAGAAATCACTCCTCCCTGCTTTACCAGTTGTGGTTTGAGGGAGTAAATTACACTCATTCTTAGGATCCGTTAGCTTCACTGTTATTCTTCACTGTTATTATTATAAGTACGGCAGTGCAGGCCCTTCCTATGTTAGCACAACTATATCATTTGCTTTCTTTCCAATAATATGTTCTCATTGTACCCTCTTACCACTTTCAAAAACATAGGAGCTTAGCTGAGCCATTTCTTTAACTTAGAGGAACTTTAATTTCTACAACAGGAACAACCAACTCAACTTTTTTCCCATCTATCAAAAGTATACTTTAGGGTGCATACTCCAGCGGGTCTAGTCCTACAACTAGGTTCTTATAATAAAACATAAACTGTGGATCCCTAAAGAGAGGATCAAACACTGAGAGTGAATTTTTAGTACTTTTAGCATCAGTAAAATAACACACTAAAGAAGATTAAATAGTTTCATAGGCCATAAATTTGATAAGACAAAACACAGTACTTCTTAGGTAAAAAGTTGAACAAGAAAAGATCAGCAGAGAGTGAATCTGTTGATCTTAGAGTTCAGTGATGAGCACTTTGAAAAATATGCAGCAGAAGCCAAATCACTTATTCATCCACAAGAGTAACACTAATGTTACAGAGATTTTTCAAATAGAAAAAAAGTAGACTTAGCCATTGGTTTCCATCACTTATTCATCCATAAAAGTAACACTAAGGTTACAGAGATTTTTCAAATACAAAAAAGTAGACTTAACCATTGGTTTCCATAACCAGAGATAACAGCTGAAATCAGAGTAAGCTGTTATATAAAGGGGGATGAAGTTTCTGTCATTTAGATTGTTACGTATTAAGTATTTTTTTTTTAATTTGTCATAGATTTGCATGATTTGGGACCTTTGAAGACAAAGACCACACAACTGCTGCATATTCTTATAATTATGCTCTTTATTCTATGACTTAGTTTACTTCTTTGAGATATGTGACACACCGCTTAGAAGAAATTACCCTACTATTTTGTTAAGTGCGAATACCTAAGTGATACATATTTTAATCAGAGATTTAAACCCAATGAAAGCATCTAATATTCTGGGTTATCAGATTTTGATAATATATATTTACTTACTTATCCCTTAATACATTTTATTTAAGAAAATTTTATTGTTAGTCTTAATGTTAATTTTCAAGTTTTTAATGTATAAATATCATACTGACTTAACATTTCTTAAAGCTTGCAAGCATCATTAAAATATTTATTCAATAACTATAATATCTAATAAAATTCATAGTTCAATTCCAGACAATTATCAGTTAAATATCTAAGTTCAGTTTTCTTGAGTAAACATTTGATTTTTTTATATTCCCTCAAAATTGGTTGTTATCTTCAAATCACGCCTACTAATATGGCTTTCATATTTGGTCATCATTGTAGGTCCAGTATGTAATGAGGTCTTGTTGCTCTTGGTTGAACTAAGAGCTCTGCAGATGGTCAGTAGATGTATGCGTTACTTAAGGATTGTGAGGCAAGTTAAAACTGATATGGAGGTTGGGCCTGTCAGTGAAAGGGTCAGCCTCTTTGCAGTCAAATATGTTTATGCTACTTTGTTAAATACTCATCCAAGACAGATTCTTCATCTCTGCAGTTGTAATCACAATAGTAATAAGGATGATTACTATGCTAGTTAAATAAGACATAAATAATTAATGTTAGACAATATAATAAGAGCTGTGGTAATGGGTGTATTATATAGGATTTTTGCCATATAACACTTGTTAGAAGGAAAAAAAAAAGAACTGTTTAGCCAAACTGAAACTCCTTGACATTTATTTTTTGATGTAATTTATTTAGTATATGATATTTTAAAAAACTCAAACTATTTTAGTTTTTTTTTTTTCCCAGTATAAGGAATATTTCCTATGGATATATTTACCTCAGGAAAAAGTAAACATAATAATATTGTTTCAATATGACTATTTTTTAAAACATTCTAAATAGCCTAAACTGCATGTTGAGACAGCTATTGTTACGTAGAGCTAATACCTTATAAAAACAAAACAATTGAAATAAATGGATGAAGAGAAGGATAAGGAAGTTAATGAAACAGAAAAATATAGGAGAAAAGACTGTGGACTATAAAACATAGAAGAATTGAAAATGAAAAGAAAGATGAAATGAGTGAAATTATAAAATATACCACAGGAGTAGAAAAGATAAAGGAGGAGAGAGAAGAGAAACATCATCTTTAAACTCATTATCCCTAATGAATTTGCTACCATCTTGTATCTGTCTACCAGTTAATGCTAGGCCATGGTATTGTTGCCGCAGATTTTTCTCCTTCCTAGCCTAAGACTGCCTTCCTTAGTCTGGTCCTATTTCTTAATCATCACCTCATTGCAGCGTAAGGAAACTTCTGCTTGAGTCTTTATATTGCTTGTGCCGTATCTTTTAAGAAAACTTAACCTTAATGATTAATACTTATTTACTTTTATTTTTTTAAATCTGAAATCATATGAAAGATACCTTGGGTCTAATTTAACAATCTTAATTTTTTTATTTAGTAATTGTTTAAAAAAGAGAATGTATTTTGTTCTGCTTAGTTATCCACATTTAATTTTGTTTATATCTTTTTATACCAACTAAGGATATTTTTACTATATGAGGTTCTTTTAAAACATTTGTTTTTTCTGCCTATAAAAGCAATAAGTGTTTCCTGAAGAAAATGGGAAACCCAGTATGCACAATAGAAAAACAAGAAAGAAAATAATCACCAGCTATTAAAATTTTCCCAACTTTTCATCTATAGTATATATTTCATCTTATATGCTACTTTTTCCTCAATACCACGTAGTATCCTTTCCTCATGAAATGAAATCTTTTTTGAAAACATTACCACCACTGTTTTTATAATATTAACATCTGAAAGTTATTCAGGTTGTCTCCAACTCTCTACTACTACAGACATACCTGGTTTGATTCTGTTTTGCAGATATTGCATTTTTTACGAATTGAAGGTTGTGGCAGTCCTGCATTGAGCTAGTCTATCAGTATCAGTTTTCCAACAACATGTGCTTACGTAGTGTCTCTGTGTCACATTGTATTTTATATTTTTCATTATTATTATAACTTTCATGGTGATCTGTGATCAGAAATCTTTGATGTTACTATTGTAATTGTTTGGGAGCACCATAAGCCATGCCTGTACAAGACTATAACATAGCAAACTTAATTGATAAATGCTGTGTGTATTCCGACTGCCCCACCAACTATTTCCCTATCTCACTTCCTCTCCTTGGGCTTTCCTATTCCTTGAGACGGAACAATAATAAAATTAAGCCATTTAATAACTCTAAAGTAACTTTAAGTGTTCAAATGCAAGAATGAGTTACAGGTCTCTCACTTTAAATCAAAAGCTAGAAATAATTAAATTCAGTGAGAAAGGCATGTGGAAAGCTGAAGGCCAAAAGCTAGACCTCTTGCACCATACCATTAGCCAAGTTGTGTATTCAAAGGAAAAGTTCTTGAAAGAAATGAAAAGTACTACTCCAGTGAATACACAGAGGATAAGACAGTGAAACAGCCTTATTGCTGATATGGAGAAAGTTTTAGTGGTCTAAGTAAAAGATCAAACCAGCCATAACATTTTCTTAGTCCAAAACCTAATCAACAGCACAGGCATAGCTCTCTTCAAGTCAGTAAGGGCTAAGAGAGATGAGGAATCTCAGAAGGCAAGTTAGGTGCTGGCAAAGGTAGGTTCGTGAGAGTTAAAAAAAGGAGCCATCTCCATAACATGAAAGTGCAAGATGAAGCAAGTGTTGATATAGAAACTACAGCCAGCTATCTAAAAGGTGTAGCTAAGATAATTGATGAAAGTGACTACTCTAAAGAACAAATTTTCAGTGTAGATGAAACAGCCTTATATTGGAAAATGATGCCATCTAGAACTTGGTATCTGGAAAGGAGAAGTCATTGTCTAGATTCAAGATTCAAAGGAGAGGCTGACTTTCTTTTTAAGGGCTAAAGCACCTGGTGAATTGAAGTTGGAGATTCTGCTCATTTAACATCCAGAAATCTTAGGACCCTTAAATTATTTTAAATTTACTCTGTTTTCTATTAGTGGATCAATGAAACCTTGATAACAGCACATATGTTTACAGCATGGCTTACTGAATGTTTTAAGCCCGCTGTTGAGACCTACTGCTTAGCGGAGAAAAATGCCTTTTAAAATATTACTGCTGATTGGCAATGTACCTGGTCACCCAAGGGCTCCGATGGAGATATAGGAGATTAATATTATTTTAATACCATTGTCATGCCTGCTAAAACGATATTTATTCTGCAGCCCATAGATCAAAGAATAATTTCACCTTTCAGGCCTTTTCTAAGAAACACATTTCCTAAGGCTATAGCTGCAGTAGATAGTGATTCCTTTGATAGATCTGTGCAAAGTAAATTGAAAACTTTTCTGGAAGGGATTCACCATTCGATATGCCATTAAAGGCATTCATGATTCATGGGAGGAGGTCAAATTTTCTACATCAATAGGAGTTGGAAGAAGTCGATTCCAGCCCTTGTGGATGATGGTGAGGGGTTCAAGACTTCAGTGGAAGAAGTAACTGCAGATGTGGTGAAAATTGCAAGAGAACTAGAATTAGAAGTGGATGCCGAAGATGTCACTGAATTACCACAATCTCAAGATAAAACTGTAATGAATGAGGAGCTGCTTCTTATGGATGGGCAAAGAAAGTGGTTTCTTGAGAAGAAATATAGTCTTCATGAAGATTATTTGAATATTGTTGAAATGACAAAGAAGGACTTAGAATGTTACTTATATAAAGTTAGCTGATAAAGCAGTGGCAAGGTTTGAGAAGGTTGACTTTAATTTTGAAAGAACTTCTACTGTGGGTAAATTGTTATCACCCAGCATCACAGGCCGGGCTTACACCTGCAATCCTAGCACTTTGGGAGCCCGAAGCTGTTGGATCATGTCAGCCAGGAGTTCAAGACCAACCTGAGTAACATCGTGAGATGTTACCATCTGTGTAACAACAACAACAAAAAAAGTAGCCAAGCACGATGCACATACCTGTAGTCCCAACTACTTGGGAGACTGAGGTGGGAGGATCACTTGAACCCAAGAGGTCAAGGTTGCAGTGAGCTGTGATCACACCACTGTAGGGAGACACTCAAAAAAACAAAACAAAACAAAAAAACTTAGCATCACGTGCTACAGAGAAATATTTCACAAAAGGAAGAGTCAACTGATGCAGCAAACATCACTGTTATTTTAAGAAATTATGACAGCCACCCCAACCTTCAGCTACTACCTGATCATCCAGGTAGCCATCAACATCAAGGCAAGCCCCCTAATCAGCAAAAAGATTATGAGTCGCTGAAGGTGCAGAGGATCCTTAGCAGTTTTTAGTAATGAAGTATTTTTTAATTAAGATTTTAGACATAATGCTGTTGCCACTTAATGGACTAGAGTATAATGTAAACATAACTTTTATATGTATTGGGAAACCAAAACATTCATGTGACTCACCTTATTGAAATATTTGCCTTATTGCAGTGGTCTGGAACTAAATCTGCAATATGACTGTATTGATAATCCTTTCCTATATTTTTTCCTTTCTTTTTTTTTTTTTTTTTTTTTTTTTTTTTTTGGTAAAGACTGGCTCTTGCTATGTTGCCCAGGTTAGAGTGCAGTGGCAGTCCCTCTGCCTCAGCCTCCCAAGTAGTTGGAACCCCAGGTACACACCACCACACCCAGCCGTATTTATTAAAGATATATTTTTTACCACATTGGTATCTATTTAGGATATATTTAGAGAAGCTGAATTACCTAGTCTGAGACTTGGTGTTTATTGTTAAATAGCTTTACAAAGGGGATATTTCACTGTACAGTGCATATAATAGTATAGGAGAGAACCTTCTATAAGGTTTTTTGTTTTGGTTTGGTTTGGTTTTTTGAGAGAGTCTCTCTGTCACCAGGCTGGAGTGCAGTGGCACAATCTCGGCTCACTGCAGCCTCCACCACCCGGGTTCAAGCAATTTTCTACCTCAGCCTCCCGAGTAGCTGGGATTATAGGCTCCCGGCACCACACCTGGCTAACTTTTATATTTTTAGTAGAGACGCAATTTCACCATCTTGGCCAGGCTGGTCTTGAAATCCTGACCTCGTTATCCACCCAACTTGGCCTCCCAAAGTGCTAGGATTACAGGCATGAGCCACCACTCCCAGCCTTTGTTTTGTTTTTTAAGTTTTGTGAAACCATAAAGTGAAACATTGTGTAAAAACATTGATGTCATCTATTTGGGGGATTTTTCCATTGCTTATTTTTATTTAATTTTCAGTGCTTATCACAATAAACTGAAAAATCACTTCTGGGGGGTGGCAGTACAACTTTCTCCATTGAAGTCATAACCAAAGTTTACATGAACTTGACTTATGTCATAGGCCAAGTAATTTATTCCAAAACCTTTTAGCACCATGAAAATTAAGTTAATTTAAATAATTCATTTTTACTGAAGACTGTTCAAAAACATACCTCTTTTTAGTCTTATTCTTTTAAAATGTACTTGCTAGATACCTGATAAAGCAATTAAACTGTCAAGGAATTAAGGACTGTGAACCAAATATAAAATGACTAAAGTGATTAAAATCTACCTCTTAAAAATTAATTCTCCATGCTTCTGATCTCACTTTCTTTATTTGCCATTTTAAAAAGTCAAAATTAAAAAATGTTATTTTCTGATATTAGAGCATTAATAGAACACTTAACAATATTGTCCATTTAATTGTGCAACTACTCATAGCCTTTAACATCAGAAGTTGTGTTAATGCTTTTACTTGCTAGTCCCTGTGAACATTCATTTTGTTCTTCATGTATGTTGATCTCAAGTATAAAATATTTTATGATAAAATATTTTATAATGGTATAACATTTGGATGGGTATGAATTTATTTTCTCATACAATTATCTTGAATTATATAAATTATATAGGATCATAGTTTATCAAATTCAAAAAATAGATTTATTTCAATAGCATATGTAATAAATATATTTTAATTAGCCTTATTGAGCAACAGATACTTTTTGCAGTGTTTAATTAAAAGTGAAAATTTCTTTATGTTATTATTTTATATCAAGTTTAGGCTTTTTATTATGATTGTGTTAAGTGCCAAAAAGATTTGTGCCCAGAAATATTTTAGAACTTAGATGACTATAATAATTTCTTCATATCAGCATTTCATATGGCAAAATATATGTATAGAACATTTTGAAAGTAGCCTTCATAACATGAAGAATTTCAGAAATAAAGTTTTATATGCTGCTTTTCAAAGAAAAGACAGCTCTGAAATGTATCGTTAAAAGATGTTTGAGGCTGGGCGTGGTGACTCAAGCCTGTAATCCCAGCACTTTGGGAGGCTGAGGCAGGCAAATCACCTGAGGTCAGGAGTTTGAGACCAACCCCACCAACATGGTGAAACCCTGTCTCTACTAAAAAAAAAAAAAAAAAAATTAGCTGGGCATAGTGGCACATGCCTGTAATCCCAGCTACTCAGGAGGCTGAGATAGGAGAATCGCTTGAACCCGGGAGGCAGAGGTTGCAGTGAGCGGAGATCACACCGTTGCTTTCCAGCCTGGGCGACACAGCAAGACTCCGTCAAAAACAAAATGTTTGAATTATTTGTAAGTAATTGTCAAACTAGCCGGGGCTTTTAAAATCTACACATGGGTATGCAACTAGCTATCTTAACTATATAGCTGAACACCTATATGTAGAGGTTAGAGCCCTAATCTAAAAGCCATTAGGAATGACACCTTTAAAAATACCTTTAAGGCCGGGCGCGGTGGCTCACACCTGTAATCCCAGCACTTTGGGAGGCCGAGACGGGCGGATTACTAGGTCAGGAGATCGAGACCATCCTGGCTAACATGATGAAACCCCGTCTCTACTAAAAATGCAAAAATTAGCCGGGCGCGGTGTCGGGCGCCTGTAGTCCCAGCTACACGGGAGGCTGAGGCAGGAGAATGGCGTGAACCCGGGAGGCGGAGCTTGTAGTGAGCTGAGATCCGGCCACTGCACTCCAGCCTGGGCGACAGAGCGAGACTCCAGCTCAAAAAATAAAAATTAATAATAATAATAATAATAATAATACCTTTGAAAATGTGGTATTTATATAGGACTGGGAAATGTTGAACCTACATTTATCTGCTGTGGATTCACTTAGTATGTTAGTATATTCCTAACTAGCTATTAACTCTTAACTATGTGATTGAATACCTATGTGTACATTTTAAAAACCCAACTAGTTTGACAATTATTTGTAAATAATTCAAACATCGCTTAGCAAATAAATTTCAGAGATGTCTTTTCTTTGAAAGTAAACACATAAATAAGATGTTATTTCCTTTCTGTGTACATCTCAGAAAGGGATATACTAACATACTAAGTGAATCTTAGAGCAGAGAAATTTAGTTCCAACATTTCCCAGTCCTACATACACACCACATTTTTAAAGGTATCATTCCTGATAGCTTTTAGATCAAGCTCTAAAATAAATAAATAAAGCAGTGCTTCTAATTGTAACAGCAAAAATAATAAGGTATATTTTCCTTTGGTATATTGAAATCTATTCTACAGTAGCCAGAGCAGGTGTTGAAAAGCCTGTGTACTCCAGTCATCAAACCACAGAGAAAAAATCCTAGTATCCTGAGCAAGAGGAGATGCTGACAGTTAGAGCCTGAGACAGTTTGAATTATCATGTAAGCATGTCACTCAAGAGTGATTAAACTTCAAAAGATTAAAAATGGCCAACATCTCATGAGATACAAAGAATATGCTTTCTGTTTGGACAGTGTCAGTTTTCGGTGACTGATACAGTTACTCTGGTGCTGTTAGTTTATTCTGCACACTAGCATTTCTCCCAGCCCACACCCTGCACCAGGAACACTGCAACTCAGGATCATGTTCTCTCTTTATTCTGATAGTGATGACATCTGAACAAAAATGCACAAATACATATTCATCGGAAAAAAGTCTTGATATTTGAGAACTAAGTAGATGTTGTTTACTACTTTCACTATTTTTGAGTAACCATAGAAGTTACTCTCATTATTATTAAATCTTCCTGATTTCTCCCAAGCTCAATGTATGGATGAGTAGTAGCACTCTCCTCATAATGAAGAAGACAGTACAAGTTGATCCACTCGTTAGGGAATTAGAACATAAGCTTAATGTTTGGTCCATATGAATATGTAATATATATGCATACATATTTTACAATATTTATTTTTTCCACTGTCTACTAACTACTTGATCTGAATGTCATAATATTTAATCTGTATTAGTCAGCCTAAGGGGAGTGCAAATAAGCTTGGCTCAAAATTGCATAGTTTACAGTGTAAAACTTAGAAATTATTTTTTAGTTTTCATTGAATAGATTCAGTGCTTAGATACTGACTATTTTGGGAAGAAAAAAAGTGCGATTACATCCTTCTTGTTATTTTCCACAATACCTATTCTTTAAAGGATTGTGGAAATGGTTTAGCTCAGAGTAAGCTGGAAATCACTGCACAGGGCTTATTCAATATCTGTTATCAGGGTCAGAACAACTTTTACCTAAATACATTCAAAGCTTTCTTCTCTCTCATTTATTTCTGTTAAATGATGTGGACCCTGTCTTTTAACTAGAATTTTGTATTTATGTTTGCTATCATGGTGATTTTTTTTTTCTTTTTAGTACCACATATTGTCACATTGGTTGATTTTATAAAAAAATACAGGGTATCTAACATTTGGTTGATGCACTAATTGGTATCATTATTTAAGTATTATTCATAAAGAGATGGAGTTTAGATGGGTTTGATAATTTATAGACTGAATTTATTTTTATTAGCAGTTACATTTAAGTCCTGTATTCAAATATTATATTATAATTATACTTCTTTTATGCAATAGTATTCTATTATGATTTAATGGAGATATGAGCAATTCTAAATGTGTCAAACTACTATGATATTTTCTATTAAAATTAATTATAATTGCTACTAAAAGAAAGAATTTATTTGATCCATCTTCATAAAGATAGTTTTTTTCTCCTTCTAGAGGGAATTGATTTATTTCATATGACGACCAAAACTAAGCATTCTTACAATAGGTCATAATTCGGTTCAAATTTTAGCATAGTGAAAATAAAACTGAGGGATGATTGTCTAATGCTTTGGAAAGTTAATGAGATTATTTATATAACGTATGTATTATTTACATATTTCATGATAAATATTGATTTGAACTGCACATGGGATTTAGTTTAGAAATCAGGAAAAGTGAAAGCAACTGACTTAAACTGAACATTTTATTAAACACTGGAATTCGTTTTACATTAAAATTTATGTTTAGTTCAGTATAACATAATTCACATGAAATATTACCTAGCTTTAGGTCTCTGTTTTACTCCAAATTCTTTGGTTTTGTCATTTTTAAGTTCACCATACTGTGCCACGCACACACATTTGTGGGGTTGGCTAGTTCAGTAGAAATTATTTGCTTTAATTAATCCATTTGGATATTTAAGAAATATATTCCTAAAACTGTTTAGTACTTTGTGCAAACATGATTCTTGGCAAATTCCCTAAGGACACTTTTTTTAC